TTATTATTATTATATTTATTTCTATTGCTTTTATTGCTGGATTATGCACTAGTATTTTAAGCTTAGTTACGCTCTTGTAACCGGGTTCGAAATGAAGAAAAAGAAAAACGCACGTGCGAAGTGTGAACCGTCATAAATCTGCATACATTAAGTCAACCGTCATCGGGGTCAGCGGCAACACCTCTTGTCAACGCTTGTCAATTGCCACAGGGGAGACGCTGGGGACAGGCACTGTAGGCAAAGAAAGTTTAAGGGAGGTTCCTACTAGGAAAGTTACTGTGTTAAGGAAGGTTCCGCCTGTCTGTAGGCAAGGAAAGTTACTGTTAAGGGAGGTTCCTCCTGTAGGCAAGGAAAGTTGCAGTTTAAGGGAGGTTCCTCCTGTAGCTAAGGAAAGTTGCAGTTTAAAGGAGGTTCCTCCTGTAGGCAAGGAAAGTTACTGTTAAGGGAGGTTCCTCCTGAAAGTAAGGAAAGTATCGTGTTAAGGGAAGTTTCTGTTGGCAAGGAAAGTTTAAGGGAGGTTCCTCCTGTCTTTAGGCAAGGAAAGTTACTATGTTAAGGGAGGTTCATGTAGCCAAGGAAATTTACTCTGTTAATGGAGGTTTCTCCTGTAGGTAAGGAAAGTTATTAAGAGATACAATGGAAAATATTACATAGGGTGGCGAGACTAGGGGTGGGGAGGGGGAGGGGTGAATTGGGTGTAGTAGGGTGAGGGGAGATGAGTTGTGTGTGTGTGTGTGTGTGTGTGTGTGTGTGTGTGTGTGTGTGTGTGTGTGTGTGTGTGTGTGTGTGTGTTTCTTCGTGGTTTTGTGTGTGTCTGTTTGTATGTGTATTTGTCATGGAGAAATGCATAATAGAAATACATCTGTATAAATGGAGTGAGAGAGAGTGAGAGAGAGAGAGAGAGAGAGGGAAAGAGAGAGAGAGTTGGGAGGGGGGAGGGAAGAGAGGAGATTGAGTCAGACGGGAACTTATAGGGGTAAATGAGTGATCGAACTCATGCTGAGACGAAAAACAGACAAAAGAACTAATAAATAAATGAAATATCCTTACCAAAACAAAAAAACAAAAAAGAACGGAGAGGAAAACAATCAGTCACAGCAAACCTGTTGTCTAAAACAGAAGAGAGTACTTTTCTATCCCTTTCCTCCCCCACACGACTAATCAATCTTCATTCTTGCTCTCTTCCTCAATCGGCTTCTATTCAGAACGGACACATTATTTGAAGGGTCTTTTTTCTTTCTTCAATCTGTCTCTTTTCCCGAGAATCTTGTCAAACAAAAGTGTGCGGGGTTTTTAAAAAAAAATTCTTTTGCATAGATAAAAACCTGCTTCACACCGAGTTCGCACCAACTCCCATAGATCTTTCCTCTGTGTTGTAACTGCCAATCACAAGAGCTTGATTAAGCGGCTGCAAACTGCGCTAAGCACGCACTCGCTTATACACCGCAAGAGAGAGAGA